CTGTTTGGACACCTCTGTCAGGCCCTCAGTGCTCTCAGGGTAGGACTGGGGGGACTTTTGGGGTTGCCCCGTGCCAGAAGTTGGACTTCTGATGGGTCCCTTCCATCTCTGGGTGTCTGGACACCACTCCAACATTGGGATTTGGGGACTGGGGGGATTTTTGGGGTTGTCCCGTGCCAAACCAGGAGCTGGAGATGATTCTGAAGGGTCCCTTCCATCTCTGCGTGTTCAGACACCACTCAAACCTTGGGATTTAGGACTGGGAGGAATTTTGGGGCTGTCCTGTGCCAGGAGTTTGACTCCTGATGGGTCCCTTCCATCTCTGGGTGTCTGGACACCACTCCAACATTGGGATTTAGGACTGGGGATACTTTTGGAGTTGTCCCATGCCAAACCAGGAGCTGGAGATGATTCTGAAGGGTCCCTTCCATCTCTGGATGTTTGGACACCACTTAAACATTGGGATTTAGGACAGGGCAGGTTTTGGGGTGGTCCTATTCCAGGAGTTGGATCTCTGATGGGTTCTTTTCATCACTGGGTGTTTGGACATGACTCAAACATTGGGATTTAGGACAGGGCAGGTTCTGAGGTGGTCCCATTCCAGAAGTTTGACTCCTGATGTGTCCTTCCCATCTCTGGGTGTTTGGACATTGGGATTTAGGACAGGGCAGGTTTTGGGGTGGTCCCATTCCAGAAGTTGGATTTCTGATGGGTCCCTTCCATCTCTGGGTGTTCAGACACCATTCCAACATTGGGATTTAGGACTGGGAGGAATTTTGGGGCTGTCCTGTGCCAGGAGTTTGACTCCTGATGGGTCCCTTCCATCTCTGGGTGTCTGGACACCACTCAAACATCGGGATTTAGGACTGGGGATACTTTTGACGTTGTCCCATGCCAAACCAGGAGCTGGAGATGATTCTGAAGGGTCCCTTCCATCTCTGGATGTTTGGACACCACTTAAACATTGGGATTTAGGACAGGGCAGGTTTTGGGGTGGTCCTATTCCAGGAGTTGGATCTCTGATGGGTTCTTTTCATCACTGGGTGTTTGGACATGACTCAAACATTGGGATTTAGGACAGGGCAGTTTTTGGGGTTGTCCTGTGCCAGAAGTTGGACTCCTGATGGGTCCCTTCCATCTCTGCGTGTTTGAACACCACTCAAACATTGGGATTTAGGACAGGGCAGGTTTTGGGGTTGTCCCATGCCACAAGTTTGACTCCTGATGAGTCCTTCCCATCTCTGGGTGTTTGAACACCACTCAAACCTTGGGATTTAGGACTGGGAGGAATTTTGGGGCTGTCCTGTGCCAAACCAGGAGTGGGGGCAGCCCGGGGGTCTCGGGGCGGCCCGGGGGGCTCGGGGCAGCCCTGACCCCCCGTTCCCAGCGCCTTCGTGGTGGAGCAGCAGCCCAGCACGCCCAACGCCGGCAAGCGGCCGCTGGTGCTGCGCACGGCCGGCAAGTTCTCGACGCGCGCGCGGCTGCTGGTGCGGCTGCACGACCGCAACCACGGCATGGAGGCCCGGATCCACATCGACAGGTGGGACACGCGCCGCGGCGAGGTGGGCACGGGAGGGACTGGGAGCCACTGGGAGCGACTGGGAGGGACTGGAAATAAACTGGGATTGACTGGGATGGACTGGGATTGAACTGGGAGGGACTGGGGCGGACTGGGATGGAGTGGGAGGGACTGGAAGGGACTGGGAGGGACTGGAAATAAACTGGGATGGGACTGGGAGGGACTGGGAGGGACTGGAAATAAACTGGGATTGAACTGGGAGGGACTGGGATGGACTGGGATTGAACTGGGAGGGACTGAGGGGACTGGGATGGGACTGGGAGGGACTGGGAATGGGACTGGGAGGGACTGGGATGGACTGGGATTGAACTGGGAGGGACTGGGACGGACTGGGATGGAGTGGGAGGGACTGGAAGGGACTGGGATGGAGTGGGAGGGACTGGGAGGAGTGGGAGGGACTGGGAGGACTGGGATGGACTGGGAGGACTGGGAGGGACTGGGAATGGGACTGGGAGAGATTGGGATGGAACTGGGATGGACTGGGAGGGACTGGGAGGGACTGGGATGGACTGGGGAGGACTGGGAGGGACTGGGATGGACTGAGAATGGGACTGGGAGGGACTGGGATGGGACTGGGCTGAACTGGGAGGGACTGGGCTGAACTGGGAGGACTGGGAGGACTGGGAGGACTGGGATGGACTGGGAGGGACTGGGATGGACTGGGAGGACTGGGATGACTGGGATGACTGGGATGGACTGGGCTGAACTGGGATGGACTGGGCTGAACTGGGAGGACTGGGAGGACTGGGCTGGACTGGGCCGGGTGGTGACAGCGGTGACACTCCCCGCAGGGTCCCCTGGTGGTGACGGAGGAGCTGCACCTCATCACCTTCACGCTGGCTTACGCCTACTGCGGGCTGGAGCTGGAGCTCGAGGTGAGAATGGCAGGCTCGGCTCTCACTCCGCTCTGCCCCAGCACGGTGGTTTTGGTGGTTCTGGGCAGGCCGAGCTTTGGGGAAGGAGTCTGAGCTCTTCTTTTGGTCTGCAGTTGAGTTTATTGTTCCTCATCTACAAAGTTTTTCTGTCTGTCCAGCCGAGGTGTGATCAGCAGGACAGCCAAGGGCACTCTCTCCCGCCCACGGGGTCTCTTTTATAGTAAAAACTACGTGTAAGATATTTTTACCTTTAATTTCCAATACTTTTCACCGGGCTTAGGGGGCCAGGGGGGGTTGGGGACAGCCAGCCTGAGCCCCTGTCCCCTCCCCAGGCCACCACGCTGCCCTTTGTCATCATCTCCAACAACAACCAGTTCTCCAGCGCCTGGGCCTCCATCCTGTGGTTCAACATGCTCAGCTCGGACCCCAAGGCGAGCGGGACCCCCTGGCCAGTGCCAGCCCTGCCTCGTGTCCCCCCTGCTGCTGCCTGTCCCCTCCCTCGTCCAGCCTCTGTCCTGGTTGTCCCCTGTGCCCTGTGCCCAGGTCTAGGCCTGGTCACTGCCCCATCCCCGGTGCAGATCTCTGTCCCCTGCTCCCAGTGCCCTGCTCTGCCTCATGTCCTTGTCCTTGTCCTTGTCCTTGTCCTTGTCTTTGTCCATGTCCTTGTCCTTGTCCTTGTCCATGTCCTTGTCCTTGTCCATGTCCTTGTCCTTGTCCTTGTCCTCATCCTTGTCCTTGTCCTTGTCCTTGTCCTTGTCCTTGTCCATGTCCTTGTCCTTGTCCTTGTCCATGTCCTTGTCCTTGTCCTTGTCCTTGTCCGTGTCCTTGTCCATGTCCTTGTCCTTGTCCTTGTCCTTGTCCTTGTCCGTGTCCTTGTCCTTGTCCTTGTCCCCTGCCCTGCTTTGATGCTGTCCTTGGTCCCTGTCCCCTGCCCTGGTGCCTGTCCCCATCCCTTGAACCCCATCCCTGGCCACTTATCCCATCCCTTAATCCCTGTCCCTGTCCCTTGATCCCTGTCCTGTCCCTCAATCCCTGTCCTGTCCCTTGATCCCTGTCCCATCCCCTGGTCCCTGTCCTGTCCCCTGGTCCCTGTCCCCTGCCACTTGTCCCTGTCCTGTCCCCTGGTCCTTGTCCCATCCCCTTGTCCCTGTCCCATCCCCTGGTCCCTGTCCCATCCCCTGGTCCCTGTCCTGTCCCCTGGTCCCTGTCCTGTCCCTTAATCCCTGTCCTGTCCCCTTGTCCCTGTCCTGTCCCCTGGTCCCTGTCCCCTGCCACTTGTCCCCATCCCCTGGTCCCTGTCCCCCTGTCCCCTGCTCCAGTGCATGTGCCCCCCTCTCCGTGTCCCCCTCCTGTCCTCTCCCAATGTCCCTGTCCCCCTCCATGTCCCCATGCCCTACTCCAGTGCATGTCCCCATCCCCACCCCGTGTCCCCTTCCCCGTGTCCCCATCCCCTCCCACTGTCCCCATCCCCTGTCCCAGTCCCCTTCCCATGTCCCCATTCCCTGTCCCCCTCCCCTCCTGCTGTCCCCAGCCCTGCTCACCCCGTGTCCCCCCGTGTCCCCTGCTCACCCCGTGTCCCTCACTCACCCCGTGTCCCCCCGTGTCCCCTGCTCACCCCGTGTCCCTCACTCACCCCGTGTCCCCCCCGTGTCCCCCGTGTCCCCAGGCCCAGCAGTTCTTCTCGTCCCCGCCGCCAGCCCCGTGGCCCCGGCTGGCCGAGGTGCTGAGCTGGCAGTTCCAGAGCGTGGCCGAGCGCGGCCTCAGCCGGGACAACCTCCTGATGCTGGCCAAGAAACTGCTGGGTGAGGCTGGGGACACGGGGGACACCGGGGACACGGGGGACACGGGGGACAGGGGGGACACGGGGGACACGGCTGCACTGTCCCCCTCACCCTGCTCTCGCCTCAAGGCTCGAAGCCGTCCCCGGACAGCGCCGTGGCCTGGCCCAAGTTCTCAAAGGTCAGTAGGGGCTGTCCCCTCTGTCCCCGTGGCCCTGTCCCCTCTGTCCCCGTGGCCCTGTATGCTGGCCAAGAAACTGCTGGGTGAGGCTGGGGACACGGGGGACACCGGGGACACGGGGGACACGGGGGACAGGGGGGACACGGGGGACACGGCTGCACTGTCCCCCTCACCCTGCTCTCGCCTCAAGGCTCGAAGCCGTCCCCGGACAGCGCCGTGGCCTGGCCCAAGTTCTCAAAGGTCAGTAGGGGCTGTCCCCTCTGTCCCCATGGCCCTGTCCCCTCTGTCCCCATGGCCCTGTCCCCTCTGTCCCCTCTGTCCCCATGGCCCTGTCCCCTCTGTCCCCCATGTCCCTCCACATCCCTCCATGTCCCCATGTCCCCCCATGTCTCCCCTTGTCCCTCCCTGTCCCCCCTTTTCCTCCCTGTCCCCTCTTTCCCTCCATGTCCTCATGTCCCCCTCTCCCCCCCACCCCATGTCCCCTCCCTCAGGACGGCCCTGCCGGTTTCTCCTTCTGGGCCTGGCTGGACGGGATCCTGGGGCTGATCCAGGAGCACCTCAAGCAGCTCTGGAAGAACGGGTAGGAGCAGGGCTGGGGAGGGGTCTGGGGGTGGTCCTGGGGGTCCCGGGGGGGCCGCGGGAGCTGACGGTGCCTCCCCCAGACTCATCCTGGGCTTCGTGAGCCACAAGCAGGCCGAGAAGCTGCTCAAGTCCAGGAGGACGGGGACGTTCCTGCTGCGCTTCAGCGAGAGCGTCCTCGGGGGTGTCACCTTCACGTGGGTGGAGCACCACGAGACAGGTGAGTGAGACCCCCAGGACCCCCCCGGGACCCCCCGGGACCCCCCAGGACCCCCCAGCAGTGCAGCAGTGGAAGCCTCAGGAGATGGGATTCTCCAGGTCCATGGTGAGGTTTATCACGCCTGATAAACCTTTGTGCTGAGCAAATTTTGGGGAGACCCTGGAGGTTCAGTTCCACTGTAAGGCACAGAAAATAAACTTCCATCCCCCGGAGTTTAGCAAGCAAGAGGAGAAATTCAGATTCAGGTTAAAAATGGACGAGAATGGTGAAGCTGAATTTGAATTTAGGATAAAAATGTACAAGAATGGTGAAGCTGAATTCAGATCTAGGTTAAAAATGGACGAGATTGGTGAAGCTGAATTCAGATTCAGGTTAAAAATGTATGAAAATGGTGAAGCTGAATTCGAATTTAGGATAAAAATGGACAAAAATGCTGAAGCTGAATTGAGTTTTATGTAAAAAATGGACGAGAATGGTGAAGCTGAATTCAGATTTAGGATAAAAATGGATGAGAATGGTGAATCTGAATTCAGATTTAGGTTAAAAACGGACGAGAATGGGGAAGCTGAATTCGAATTTAGGATAAAAATGGATGAGAATGCTGAAACTGAATTGAGATTTAGGTAAAAAGTGGATGAGAATGGTGAAGGTGAATTCAGATTTAGGTTAAAAATGGACGAGAATGGTGAAGGTGAATTCAGATTTAGGTTAAAAATGGACGAGAATGGGGAAGGTGAATTCAGATTTAGGTTAAAAATGGACGAGAATGGTGAAGGTGAATTCAGATTTAGGTTAAAAATGGACGAGAATGGTGAAGCTGAGCCCCATGCCCGGCACAGCTTTGTGGCACACGGTGTCACCCTCCAGCTGACCCCCCTGTCCCCCCTGCAGGGTCCCCCACTTTCCACGCCGTGGAACCCTACACAGCCTCGGAGCTGGTGTCCCTGGCCCTGCCCGACATCATCCGGGACTACCACATGAGCCTGGAGGAGAAGAACCCAGAAAACCCCCTCAAGTTCCTGTACCCCAGCACCCCCCGGGACGAGGCTTTCGGGCCCTTCTACAGCCAGAGGCTGGAGGGTATGGCCTGGCACAGCCTGGCATGGCTTGGCACGGCTTGGCACGGCCTGGCACGGCTTGGGAATGAGCCAGGGCAGCGCCTGCCACCCCCCTGAGGCCTCTGTTTGTCCCCAGGGAGCCTGAGCGAGTCCCAGAAGTACCTGAACCGGCGCCTCATCCGCGTGTCCTCCAGGTGAGGGGCTGTGGGGGCACCTCTGTGGGACTCTGGGATCCCCTGACCCCCATCCCTGACCCCGATCCCCATCCCTGACCCCAGTCCCTGATCCCTGACCCTGATCCCCGTCCCTGACCCGATCCCTGATCCCTGACTGACTCCAATCCCTGACCCCCATCCCTGACCCCGATCCCCATCCCTGACCCCAGTCCCTGATCCCCATCCTAATCCCTGACCTCCATTCTAATCCCTGACCTCAGTCCCAATCTCTGACTCCAATCCCCATCCCTGATCCCAATCCCTGACCCCAATCCCCATCCCCAACCCTGATCCCAATCCCTGACCCTGATCCCCGTCCCTGACCCGATCCCTGATCCCTGACTCTGACCCCAATCCCTGACCCCAATCCCAATCCCTGACCCCGATCTCCATCCCCAATCCTGATCCCTGACTCTGACCCCAATCCCTAACCCCAATCCCCATCCCTGACCCCAATCCCCAGCCCTGACCCCAATCCCTGACTCCAGTCCCAGTCCCTGACCCCAATCCCAACCCCTGACCCAAACCCCTGACTCCTGGCTCCAATCCCAGACCCCAACCCCTGACCCCGATCCCAGTCCCTGACCCCCATCCCAATCCCTGACCCCAATCCCTGCCCTGACCCCAATCCCTGACCCCAATCCCAATCCCTGACCCTGATCCCTGACCCCAATCCAAATCCCTGACCCCCATCCCAATCCCTGACCTCAACCCCTGACCCCAATTCCAGTCCCTGACTCCAATCCCCAAGATCCCGATCCCCATCCCTGACCCTGATCCCAATCCCTGACCCCAATCCCAATCCCTGACCTCAATCCCAATCCCTGATCCCAATCCCCACCCCTAACCCAAATCCCTGACCCCAATCCCCAATCCCTGACCCCGATCCCCAACCCTGACCCCAACCCCTGACCCCAGTCCTGACCCCAGTCCCAGCCTGTCCCCTGTCTGTCCCCCAGGCCCCCCAGCAAGCAGCAGACAGAGGAGGAGCTGGCGGTGGCCACGGAGAACCTGGAGACGCTGCGGCTGCAGCCCCGGGGGCAGGGGACACCGGGGGGCCTGGGGACACCTCAGGGCTTGGGGACACCGCGGGGCTTGGGGACACCGGGGGGCCTGGGGACACCTCAGAGGGTGGCCACGAGCCCAGGGACACCGCAGGTCACCCCTGGGAGCTTGGGGACACCACAGGTGATAGCCACAAACCAAGGGACACTACAGGTGGTGGCCATGAGCCCAGGGACACTTCAGGTCACTTCTGGGAGCTTGGGGACACTTCAGGGGGTGGCCACGAGCCCAGGGACACCTCAGGTGGTGGCCATGAGCCCAGGGACACTGCAGGTCACCCCTGGGACCCTGGGGACACCACAGGTGGTGGCCACAGAGGGTGGCCACGAGCCCAGGGACACCGCAGGTCACCCCTGGGAGCTTGGGGACACCACAGGTGATAGCCACAAACCAAGGGACACTACAGGTGGTGGCCATGAGCCCAGGGACACTGCAGGTCACTTCTGGGAGCTTGGGGACACTTCAGGGGGTGGCCACGAGCCCAGGGACACCACAGGTGGTGGCCACAAACCCGGGGATACCGCAGGTCACCCCTGGGACCCTGGGGACACCACAGGTGGTGGCCACAAGCCCAGGGACCCTGCAGGTCACGGGCTTGGGGACACTGCACCCACAAAGCCTGGAGCCACCACAGGTGCCATCAGCGGTCCCCAGCATGCAGGGGACACTGCAGGTGACACCAGGGGCTGTGGGGCCCGTGCAGGTGCTGCCCGGGGGGCTGCAGGTGCTGCAGGTGTGCCCAGAGGACTTGGGGACACTGCAGGGGACAGTGGGGACGCTGCAGCTGGGCGCTGCGGAGCCACCACGGGTCCCCGAGGAGCAGGGGACGCTGCCAGCCGAGCTGAGGGACCTGGAGCTGCTGCCGGGGGGACAGGACATGCAGGAGCTGCTGCAGGGGAGCCAGGACGTGCAGGAGCTGCTGCTGCAGTCGCTGGAGGGGCTGGAGGCGGCCCCGGGGACCCCGGGGACACTGGGGACACTGGGGACACTGGGAGTGGCCGAGCTGATGCCCGACGTGGTGGCGACCTTGGAGGAGAGCTTGCAGCTGAGCCCCGGTGAGTGTCGGGGCTGGGGCGGGGACAGAGGTGGCACCTGGGCACTGAGGTGTCCCCAGATGACCGAGCTGTCCCCTGGGCACAGAGGTGTCACCCAGGTCACCAAGCTGTCCCCGGGCACTGCCCTGTCCCTCTGGTCACTGCCCTGTCCCCTGGGCACTCAGCCGTCCCTGGGTCACTGAGCTGTCCCCGGGTACTGCCCTGTCCCCATGCCACCGAGCTGTCCCCTGGTCACTCAGCTGTCCCCTGGGCAGTGCTCGGTCCCTCTGGGCACAGAGCTGTCCCCCAGGTCACCGAGCTGTCCCCCTGGGCACTGCCCTCTCCCTTTGGCACTGCCCTGTCCCCAGGTCACTCAGCTGTCCCCATGTCACCGAGCTGTCCCCGGGTCACTGCCCTGTCCCCATGTCACCGAGCTGTCCCCGGGTCACTGCCCTGTCCCCATGTCACCGAGCTGTCCCCGGGTCACTGCCCTGTCCCCATGTCACCGAGCTGTCCCCGGGTCACTGCCCTGTCCCCATGTCACCGAGCTGTCCCCGGGTCACTGCCCTGTCCCCATGTCACCGAGCTGTCCCCGTCCCCTCGGCAGGCAGCGCTGCTCTCCTGGACCAGCACGATCCGTTCCTGCCGCAGCCCGAGGACGCGGCCGTGCCCTCGGTGCCCTCGCTCTTCACCGACTTCCCCCCGCTGCACATCGACGCCAGCGACTTCCAGTGACCCCTGCCCGGCACCTCCGTCCCTGGGACCCCTCCCCAGCCCCTCCCGGGGACCCCTGCCCGGCACCTCCGTCCCTGGGACCCCTCCCCAGCCCCTCCCGGGGACCCCTGCCCGGTCCCTCCGTCCCTGGGACCCCTCCCCAACCCCTTCCAGTGACCCCTGCCCGGCACCTCCGTCCCTGGGACCCCTCCCCGGTCCCTTCCCTTCTCTCCCCGATCGCTTCCAGGGACCCTTCTCTGGTCCTTGTCGTTGCCGGGACCCCTCCTCAGCCCCTTCCCTTCCAGGGACTCCTTCTGGGGACCCCTCCTTGGTAGCTTCCCTCCCAGGGACCCCTCCCCGGTCCCTTTCATTCCAGGGACCCCTCCCCTTTTCCCTCGCTGTAAATATCCCCCTCCCCACCCCGCACACCCAGCCGCCTCTCCGATCTCCGCGGGAGCTTTATTAGAAACTCATAAATACCCGAGTTAAATAAAAGAGCGGCTGGCGCCATAAATAACCCCGGTAGCTTCCCTCCCAGGGACCCCTCCCCGGCCTTTTTTGTTCCCGGGACCCCTTTCCGGGACCCCTCCTCAGCCCCTTGCCTTCCAGGGACCCCTTCTGGGGACCCCTCCTCAGCCCCTTCCCTTCTCTCCCCAGTCCCTGTCGTTGCCGGGACCCCTCCTCAGCCCC